ACAACTGGATCATAACGGAACATCCCCCACCAAATGCGTATTTGTGTAGACGCAGTCAAACCCGGTTTCTATTCTATCACATTTTTATATGCTAGACTCTCCTCCGGTTAGTACAAATGAGTTCTGAATCGGAACGGATTTTTTTATTTCATATGAAACAGTAGACAATCAAACACCTTTTTTCATCTTTGTATGTTTTTAATCACCTGTCTTACTGTTTCTACCGAAATATGTAGTGGTTAATTATGACTGTATTTCATTCAGTGCGTTTAAATACCCACAATGACGAATGTCTTTTGTGACCGCGTTGAACGCTGGTTAAAGAAAATTCGGATACAGGCTTGTGCACAAGAGCATGGTAGATCGGGCTCAATTCTATTCAGTCATTTAAATTTCGTGTTCATTGCTTCCTACGGCATCATAAGCTGTTCACAAAGGAGATTTATTGTTGGGGAGAAAAAAGTACTCAGGCCCCTTCATTAGAAAATCAAAGCAATGTTGCATGGACAGAATACACTATATTTTTAATATGAAATGCCATCCATAATGCACAGACATTTGTGACTCCCGCTGCTTTGAATCAACAAGCGGAAGAGTATCTCGCGGTGTCCCTCGCGCTAAGATTTTTGCATTGCAAAAACGTGCCACTATGGAACCGGTCGTTTTCGAGTGCGTTCAGTCCCGCTGAGTGACTTTGGTGACTCGGTTTCTGATGGAATCTATTAGAGGTCCAACATTTCCATTTTCATTCCAGACGGTACTCAACAATGCGTTCTTTATCGTTTATTCTAGGAACGTGCAAAGTGAAACGTCGATTGATTATTTTTAATCCCGTAACCTAGAAGCGAACAAGCTGCGGCACACGACCCAGGTGCATCGTAGCATGCAGCCAGTGTATTGCTTCTTGTCCCTTCAAAGTATTTAACTACGCATATTGAGAACTGTCTTTTATGATCAACTAAGACTCTGTTTAAACAATAATTCGAAACGGGCTTGTTCACAAAAGCATGTTAGATGAGGCTCAGGTTTATTAATTGATCTGAATTTCTTGTTTATTGCTTTCCATTGCATAATGATCTTGGCACAAACAAATTGCGAATGGAATAACTTTTGGGAAGAAACAGGTAATGAGCCGATGTTGTTTAGGCAGCATATATTATATCTATTTAGTGTGAAAGGCTACTCATTTTACACAGATGTGTGTGGCTCCAACTGTTTTAAATCGCTTTACAGCAAGGTATTTCGGAGTCTATCTCATCAAAAAAAATGTTGCATTGAGGAAAGGCCACGCTATGGTTCCGAATTCAGTTCAATCCCACCAGGTGAATTTGATGGTGCAATTTTTGATGCAATCTATCTAAGGACCAACGAAAAACATTAGACTGCTGCTTCTATTTCAGTCGGTACTCATCAATGCGTTCAGTTGCTTCTCCTGTTGGGACTTGAACCCCGAAACTTAGGTTTCTTATTCGGAATTCCGAAGCCACGACTACATTTACTCTTGTCAAAAAGTATTATTCATCAGTTCTCATTGCTTGTGAAACAAAACCGCTCATAGAGATCAACTAAATAGCACAATTTGTCACCACCGTTTTCGATGAATGTGGCATCTGCAGTTCTAGTCAGTACACAATTAATTATTCTGTCACCCTAAAGATAGTTGTGAATTGAAGCACTACATTCTACATCAGGTTTTCGAATTAGCATGGGATAAAACCTCTTATATTTGATAGTATTTATTTCCATCAGTATGCACTGTTGGCCATTCGTCGTTATCACAACGTCGTGATCATAACATTATGGCAGTTGGGCATGCGCAACCTACTCAAACTCACAGCACTTGAAGAAAGATTTCCATTTTGGTGAACAGATCAAAACATAAGTTTTCGTTGATAATTCAATATTTCTTTGAAATGGGAGTGAGATATTCTCAGTTTTACAATTTATTTCCCGCTATTCTGTTTCTCTTGAAGCGCATGGGATGAATTATGCTGTACCAACGGATAAGAGCACGGTTAAATTTTGGACGTTGCCTGACTATTTTGGCATCCAATCTTGTATATTCATGCATTTCACTAATAACAATTCAGTCGTCTAACGTTTGTATCTTTCATCATTTTTATTGGAGTCATTGGCCAATACATAAAGAAACACCGTTTTAAATCTCTCAGTGCGGTTTCCTCATTATGATACGTTTCATTGCCCCTATACTTATAGAGACCATTATGATATTCAACTGAACTCATTCGGGACTTTGTGGAGTCGAGCGTAGCTCATAACAGCTGAGTGAGAAACTCACAAACCCACATTGATCAACTTGTGTTCTTCAGGCGAGATAGACATTGTCCATTTCATACACACACTCGGGATCGCTCATTATAAGCCGAGCTATGAAATGATGCTTGTAAATTCTTTTTATATATAAAAATAAAATCATGTGTCCATTTATTAAGCCGCTGGACTGTTCAGGTTACTCAGTATAATCTGCCTAAAATGACTAACTTCAATTGTCAGAAATACCAAGTGATCAACGGAAGAGACTAGGCCTCATATATAATGAAGTTCTGCTGGAACGCACAACGAAAATATGAAAACGTGAACCAAAATAACCGTCAAATTAAAAGGAAAACATCTATTCGCAATTCGGAGATTACATGAATCACATTTATGTATAAAGTTTGAGTGGTTTTACTGCGGAATTGTACCCATCGGATGAAGCAAACAAATTAACTTTAAAGCCTTCATAAATTCAACAGCTTGTCGAAAT